GTTTGGTCGCTATACGTTAAAGTGTGAAATGAATATTCCCGGCTGTGCTTTTATAGAAGTTATTCGTCTACCTCTCACCCGACATCGACAGGTTACGCCAGTTCGGCCACTCGTGTGTTGCACCCATTTTTTTCCAGATTTTTAGGACAAACAGTGACATACAATAATGGAAAGCTGTGAATCATATTTTGTAAGTGAATACGAACACATTCACCCACCTACAAACATACCTACTGTATTGAAAAACCTCATAATTCAAACTTAAACGCATAATATCAGGCAGCAGCATCTCGCAATGACAGACAAAGAAACTGATAGGTTTTATTATTATATTTTTCTCATAACTCCCAATTGCTGCGATTGGATAACAAACGCAGGACAGAATACAATTTTTTATGGAAATATTGCCTCATGTTCGCCATATCTGATTTCCTCTTTATCATCCTAATCTCCATTTTCCATCTTCACAATATCGATCTTTATCTTCCACATTCTCGTTTTCCATCTTCATTTTCATATCCATGTATGTCATTTTCATCTTCGTATCCCATCTCCCATATTCATCCCCGTATACATCTGCAACTTTACTTTTACCTTCACTTTAGTATTCATATTATTACTGGTGATGCTCATTCTAACCATAATGACCGTTATTAAAGTTATCATACACAATTCGTATGTGTCATCGTTATCAGTATGCATATCAGAGGTCAGTACTACCTCCGAAGTTTATCTATAACTGATTCTTAAATAACACAGGCCAAAGAGAAACGGAGAAAGAAAAGGAGAATGGGAATTTATAGAGAAACTTTCAATATACGTTTTCCTGCAATAACTTTCCTAGAGACAGATGGCGTGTAAAGTTTCACTCCAGCTGCAGTTAATGACTCCAGGCGCCACAGTTTATAGGCAAAGGCAATTTCTCAAGATTAGATTCAGGAACTTTAGGAGTCTCAAGCAGCAAGAAGGAAGAGAAAGCATTTCCGTCGCTTTGAAACGAACATTTCAAAAGAAAGAAAACATGACGGATATTCCTTCAAAGAATATTCTGCTTTGTTTTTATTATTATTATTATTATTATTATGGAAAATTATTAGAGGCTGATTGTATCTTTTTACGTAAAAACAGTCTTGGTAAATGTTGCTAGCATTTACACGTACCATTATTGCGTTGTAAACCTTTGCAGCAAACTCAGGCTAGTTTTTACCTGACATTTCCCTGAATTTATGCTTGCCCTTGAAAACTTGCCTTCTCCGCTGATGATAAAAGATATATAATGAACCACTTCGCTGAAATTGCCTGCCACTGAATGCAGTTTGAGTTCTCACTACCACTGTACTGTGTGCAGTGAAATGAATAATAGCTAAAATAACTTGGAAATGCATAGTTTAGTGATACCTTATTCTGTAAGCAGCATTGGTTCTCAAATTCGTCTTGGAGAGTTAATAACAAGTGTTTCTCGAAAGATGACTGTAGTAATAAAAACAGCTTGATCAGTATCCTGATACCTTCAAAATTATGTTCAAGGTGTCATTTGCATTAATCTACCGTACATTACAAGTAGACTAAGAAGGAGCTCGATTCATCTTTGACAGAATTTGTTTCTATAGATATATCAATAGGGATAAGTTCTAGCATCACCTTTATTACTAATTTTTGTAAATGCCGAAATATTTGCACAAATCAATGCAAGAATTTCATGACCAGCAGTATGCAAGTGGAATTCCGTAATGAGTTTTGTATGTGCAATCTCCTTAAATAATAAATAGAAGCTGTCTTCGAGAAAAAGCCAATTTATGTTGCTGAGATGGTGAATTACATCGACATTGCGAAGAACAAAAGAACTGATGAAAGCGATACTGTTCCAGATGCTGCAAAGCCACGAAGACCAAAGAGGAATGACGAGAGTGGAAAAGAAAAGCGGAATGGCTCAGCAGTAAGTGGTAATAATACGCAATGTATGTAAAAAGAATATCAAAAATTGTTATAGAAATTACCATTACCAATTGTCTTCCACCAAGTGATAATGTGAGACGGATCATGAGTAAAAGAAAAGGTTAAATAAAATACTTATCATCTGAGAAGGTTAGGGAAATAGAAACTGGCCCAGCAGGATGCCATTTTAAAGATAGTACTGGCATTGGGTGCGCACCAAAAAGGGATTGCAGATGACAGAATGATGTAGCTTTATTTATTATTATTTTGGGGGGAGGCCTAAATTCTCCCATGAGTTGAATGGTTTATCGCTGGCTTTTGATGACATACTAATTAACAGTTTGAATGTCCTGCTTTCCAGGAGATACTGAAGATGACAATAACATTTATCTTGACAATGAAAAAGGTGTTCGTACCCCAAGTTAGTTTGTTATTTATGTACTGATGGTGAGTCCCTAAGACAAACAGAAGATGAAGACAGAAGTTTTGATGACTAAAGATAATGGGCGGCCTCCAATGCCTACCATGGTTATTGTGAGCACTTCAGTGGTAGAACAAAGAGTAAAGAATTTACCTTTTAATATAAGAGATAAAAAAAATTCCTGTTGATAGGAGACAGAGTAAACTAACATACTGATTTTGATGAATAGAAAACTACAGTTTTGCATCGTACTGGCAAGGCTACAAAGTTGTTAAAAATGGGTCATTGGCAATGATGATGGTGAAGAGACTGACTTCAAGGTTGAACCATTAGACTCAAGAACGTTAGGTTAGGTTAGGTTGATCGACTGATCAAAATTATTTAAAATTATCTGCCGTGTCAACAGCTAAGGTCATAAGTGTCGAATACTTTGTTGAATTGGAATGGGAAATATTTAAAACGTTAAAAATCTTCCAAAGAAGTGGAAAGGAAAGAGGTCAGCCACCCATGTATATGAGATGGGTTTGTTCTGAGAAATATGTCAATAATGAAGATAAAACGTGGACTTGAAGACCCCCATCGCCTCGGAACAGGTTTTTCCACTGAAGATACACCATGTCTCAGTTAATCATGACCTCAAAGAAATGTAGACGTAACTTTTTATATGAAAGTTGCTTTTTTTTCAAAGGGATTATTTCATAGACACGTTATGAAGCTAATTGTTCCGAAGGTTTAAGGATCCTGAATAAGTATTTTATGGGCCTAAACGATGCAGCAAGGGTTAGGTATTTCGCAGTTGGTTAATTTCCACCTACCTGGTACATGTACAGCTAATCCTGATGCAGTTTTTTCATGATCATGAATTATCAGGAATTCCAATACATGTGTATCGTTTTTTTGATGATATGAAACAAAATTATTTGAAAATATGGTAATTGAAAGCATTTAAACGCTTTCAAATGGTTAACAGCCCTGTGGTGCAGAAGGTATTGTAGCTTGGTGTTATTATTTATAGCTTGTAAAAAGTAGTTGTGCACATAAATATTTTATTCATTGTGAATTTGATTATAATTATATCAATACCATGATTGGCCATAACAAGTACGTCAAAGAATTTGGTTTCTTCTCTTCACTGCAAGTCTTTTATTATTTTATTGTTATTTATGTAGCAGTAAGAACAGCATTATCCTTATGAGTATTACTGTTATTATTAATGCGGTTATTATTATTAATGCTATTATCGTTAGTGTCAATGTCTCATTTCACTTTAAAATTTTGCTTCATGACTATGAAGAAGTTGTCGTGTCTGATGATTACTACTGTTATGAACCATTGTAGAAATTATGATAATAGAAGATAATATTTCTAACTATGTAAAAAGAAACATTAAAGTAAACCCATGAACCTTGAGGAAAATTGAACCGTTTTTGAGTAACATAACGACGGATTCCAGTCTAACGACACATTTGACATGCAGAAAATTATGAAAATTACAGATAAGTGAAAAAAAATATCATTACAGGAGCTGCTGTGACGTTTCTTTTCTTTTTATGTGTGTGTGTGTGTGTGTGTTATGTGTGTTATGTGTATATATATATATATATATATATATATATATATATATATATATGTGTGTGTGTGTGTGTGTGTGTGTGTGTGTGTGTGTATATATATATATAATATATATATATATATATACATACACATAACACACACACACGCACACACACACACACACACACACACACACACACACACACACACACACACACACGCATATATATATATATATATATATATATATATATATATATATATATATATATATATATATGTACATATGTATATATATATATATATATATATATGTATATACATATATATATATATATAAATATATATATATATATATATATATATATATATATATATATATATATATATGTATATATATATATATGTATATATATATATATATATATATATATATATATATATATATATATATATATATATATATATATATATATATAATATAGCTGAATTTTTTACGATCGAAAAAAAATGTGAAATATAATTTCTATATCAATTTTTTTCGGATTAATTATTTTATTAACAATTCTTTCCAGCTTTTCGATTTTTTTTTTCGTCTTTTCTTCGTTTTACATTTTCTAGTTTCTCGGTCTTCTCAATCTCTATATTAATCTCTTCCCATTATCTCTTTGATAATCTTTACATTTGCATAATTCGCTGGTGGTTATGTAAATGTGGTTTCCATCATATACATTCTCCTTAGCGAAAGGAGTCAGACCTAAGGCAGGACCCATTGATTCCTTTTATACTGAAATTAGGTTTGGAATTCATTGTTTTGTATCATTAATAAAACCGCATTGCCTTATTCTTTTTTTTTAGATACACATATCATCTTCCGAAGTAAGAATATTTCATTATCAGTGTCATAGTACCATATCACGGCTTGTGATGATGGTAACGATGAGGATAAGAATTGTAAAATAATGATCTAGATGTGTGTGTGTGATATATGTATATATTGATGTGTGCGTGTGTATGTATATATACATATATACATATATATATATATATATATATATATATATATATATATATATATATATATATATGT